CGGTTTTTCAACCTGTTTGGAAATAAAAATAAAGTTAATTTTATAAATACACACCTTGCCTACCATAGGCACTCCCATTCCCCCCCCCCCCCCCGACTGCTTCTAAAGAAGAGAGAATGCACTCCTCACAATCGTTGAAGGCTTGAGCTACCTACCAATGCTCTATCTGCTACTTGGAGGATCACATCTGCTCCTGCCCCCTGTGGCATCCCCTGTACCCAGCTAAGGGTCTGACATGGAGAAGGAACTGTATATTGCCTAAACATAGGCATCTAAGTTCTAAAAGCAAGGGATGGGGCTTACTATCTAATATGGGAGCAAGGCACAGAATTACAATGAAGGTTCCCTGTGCAAACATTAAGAATCTGAAGATGAAAACGAGTCCCTAGGCACACAGTCCTGATGGCTGCCAGGCTGCACACCCTTCATGTCCCTAGTGATGCCCAAGTAGCATCCACGAGGCCACCATGGTCCTCAGTTTTTACCATCATAGGAAAATGGAAAAGAAACACAACGCATTTCCACAATGCTATCCCTGTCCATTTGAGTTTGGGCGTGGTTATTCAACCACTCGTGCCAACTTGCCTGAACTTCTGGAACCTGGATTTTGTCATACATTATTCTAGGCATTCCCACAGAGGCATGGCTGAATGAAATATTCAAGTCGGTGAATCTCTGATATGTGGATTACCTCTGCAAGGTGGGTGGACCTCATCCAGTCGCTTGAAAACCATAACATGAAAAAGATCAAGACCCTTGTTCCTCGGAAAGCCTGTGGCTGCCTGCCTTAACACTCAAGCTGCAGCGCTGTCTACATGTGGTTCTATAAACTCTCCCTTACAGGTCTCTGCAATTACTTGAACAGGTTTCTTCCGATGCCGTCTACTGGGACAGACACTCGGAGAGACAGATGGACCATGCAAATGGCTCTGTTTCCTGAAAAACAGACTAATACAGGGGCTGACCTTCCCTCAGCCATGATGATTGTCTTATCTAGCTTGCTTTTTATATTACAATGCGAATTTTACAGAAACATATTTTCTGGAAATAACTGTTTTATCTGATAAATTTGGCAGTGTTGGCTCAGATCAGATATTTGTATCAAAAAGAACAACTGTATTTTTATTTTTCTACTTTTGAAGCAGGCAAGATAACAGGTCAACATTTCCCCTCAGGATTTTTTTTTTTCAAAACCCAACACTGTTAATGTACTAGGAAGCATGGAAGCAAAGTGGGGTCCAGTCATTAGTAGTGCCATGCAGACCATGATGACATTTGGGCCGATGGTGAACTATATATAATATAATAGCAGTCCCCTACAGTCAAAATGGAGCTAAAAGTTTCCTATTGTCTCATGCAGGGCTCTAACCACGGATTTGGGCAGTCAGTGACACAGACCTGCCGATGTGGAAATGCAGCTATGCTTCTAGCCAATGCTTTTATGGTCAACTTTGACTTTTATCACTAATTCAGAGTTCTCAACTTGTGGGCGGTGACCCCTCTGAGGGTGGACTGACCCTTTCACAGGGTCACCTAAGACCATCGGAAAGTACAGATTGCAATTCATAACAGTGGCAAAGTTACAATTAATAAAGTAGCAACAAAAATAATTTCATGGTTGGGGGGGTCACGACAACAGCGTTAGGAGGGTCGCAAACCACTGATTTAGAGTGTGATCCATGCACACTTTCTTACCCCGGGAAAGAGCATATGACACGGTCTTACTGTGTCCCCTATTGCACCTACGTGGGTGTGAGCACACACTGACAGTATTTGCACGGCAATGGCTCGACCGCCTAAGGAGGTATTTCTCAAAATATATCCTTGTAGTACAGCCGTATATGTCTCCATGTGTTGAATTTAAAGCTGGTGTGGCTCGTGGGTAAAAATGTGAATTTGAAGAAAGGACATATGGACAGCCCTTCTCACTTTTTTTCTTTCAAAAATGATATATTCTTCTAGAGTTATGGAAAGACAGAAGTGTCTAATTTACCAGTCCTAATGTTCTGAATTCTGTTTCCCCATTTGCAGGGATTCCTGTAGACGCCGTATACTTTTGGCAAAGCCTGTGAGAAAGAAGAACATCATCTCCTCCCACGAGCACACTTTGGGCCGATGTCATCGTGCAAGGACGTGAGCCAGCACACAACAGTCCCCAATCACTCTTATGTTCGCAGATCTGCAATACTGGCCTTGGTCAAAGTCAGAGGCTCCAGGAGACTCAGGACTGGGGCTGAACAACACTGCCAATTTCTCTTTGTTCCACCCCCACCCACTGTTGGTGAGAAGAAATATAACTCAAGAAACTTTTTTTGAAGGCTCTTTCTTTACAATTGTCCTCTACTGGTCTGGTCAGAAGCCTAACTTCAGGGCCTTTGCAAGCTTACTTTGGGGTGGGGCGGGGGGGAGGGGGTTGGGCATCACACTAAGATGAAAATGGCGCATCAAAGGTCACCTCTGCACCGGGGTATAGATGAGGCTTAGAGTCACCATGGAAGAAAAAGGACTGTCCCTTTCCCTACAAAACTGTTGCTTATCCTTTTTACTAATTCCGACTACTGATACCTGGAGCCTATGCCCAGGCCAAACACATGCGTGCCACTCCTGACCCAACGCCAGCTACACCTGACTCATTTTTAGGACTCAGCTCAGCCCCCTTAGCATCTCTCCTGCCCTGTGGTAAGTACCTGACAGCTAGACAAATCACTGTGCCCAGGGTTTCTGGATGCCAAGAACTTAAGAGTTTTTCCCTGATCACCATCCATTACACCAAGGCCAAGGTCACCTCCTTGAATTTCAATTCACAAGCACTTACAAGGATCCCAGGAATCTCCACTCCAATAGGAAGAATGGACAGTCTCTTTAAGAGTCTGTCCATCCGTCCCGACTGCCCTGGGTCTGTAGTCCACAGTCCGTCCATCCGTCCCGACTGCCCTGGGTCCGCAGTCCGTCCATCCGTCCCGATTGCCCTGGGTCTGCAGCACTACCTCTCAACTGTGTACCCTGTTCTCCCAATCTGCTATCTCCTCTCAGTTGAACTCTTTGTCAGGCAGACTCTTAGAGAATCTGTTAAATGCCCTGTGCCTTCTTCAGGCAGGGGACATGAGTATCACCTGCAGAACCTGGGCAGGTTCATCAGCACTCACTCTGAACTCGGCTTTGCTGACCCCCACCCAGCAAATCTGTGGCAAGTTCATAAATCAATCGGTAAGCTTCTCTTGAACCCATATTTAGAAGTCATTTAAGATCCCTCATTTCTAAGCGGAGCAACTATTACTGCCTGCCGGAGGAGACATGCTATTTCCTCAGACGAGGTCTTGTATCTTTTTGAGCTCAGTAAATGGATTTGCGGCCATTTCCCAAACTGCTTCAGCCAGAAGGCAGGGACTTTTGGGAGTATTCTTATTTGCCTTCTCCCATCCAGTCAGCCGGTTGCCGGCTACATCTCCAAAATATAAAAGCCAAAAGGAAGAGATAAGAAACAACTTTGATTCCTTTAATGTGAATTGGTGAACAAAAGCAGTAGATTGACTGAAGCCGAGAGGTAACAGTAAGAAATCCCACGGTGCTAGGAGCTAGTCGAGACTGAGAGAGGCACATTGAGCCTTCACCCCAAAAAACACAGCTGAGCACCCAAGGGAGTGGAGTGTGGGGGATGTGGTGAGAAGGCAATGGGGGGGGGGGCAGACAACCAATCACCTCCAGTGAGGGAAACACCCACACCTAGGCAGAGCAGGGATGTTTCTCAAAAAGCTACCTCATGGGGTGTCAGTCACACTAGGAGAAAGGGGGTTGAAATGAGAACCAAGACAAAGGCATTAGGCTGTATGGTTCCACAACGCCTATTTCTAGGAATGAAGATACAAAGGAAGTGGTTCCTGGACTCTCTTCAGTGAGTGAATCATGAAGTTACTTCCTAACTTGCCTGCAGCCCACACATGTGTGAATAAGAATCTCTACTTGCTTACCCAGAGTTCCCAGCGCCTACATCATGGCAGCCACTTAAACACCCAGGCAAAGGGGATGATTGAAACTGTGAGAATACAGTATGTCCTCAAGGCCTTCAGAGATGGCCCAGCTAAGGAGTGTGTGGGAGGAAAGCAGGGGAAATGGAGTGGAGTAGTGAGGGCACTTCTCACGTCAGCACAGACTAAGGTCACGTGAACAGAGAGAAAGAGACCGTGAACCAGTAGCCATACTCAAACTACAAACAGCCAAGGAAGAGCCAAGAGCAAGACCTAAGGAAAGGCTCCAGAAGTGTGTGAGAAGACTGGAAGCAGGCAGTGGAAGAGAGCTGTGGCAACAGCGTGATTGCAGCCTGCAAAGCCAGAGATAACTGAGAGGGAGGACAGGAAGGCAGGTACAGAGTGGGAAGCTTTCTCACAGAATATGACAGTCAGCCATCAATCCATCCGTCAGTGGGAGCACCTCAGGAAGGGTGAGAAAAGGGCCAGCACCAAGAGGACACAGTAGGGAGACTTTGGAAGAGGTGAGACACAGCAGCCTAAGGGTTCTGCAGCACAGTGATGCCCTACCGGAAGTACACAGTCCTGTGCAGACACAGTGATACCCTACCGGAAGTACACAGTCCTGTGCAGACACAGTCACACCCTACCAGAAGTACACAGTCCTGTGCAGACACAGTCACACCCTAACAGAAGTACACAGTCCTGTGCAGACACAGTCACACCCTAACAGAAGTACACAGTCCTGTGCAGACACAGTGATACCCTACCGGAAGTACACAGTCCTGTGCAGACACAGTCACACCCTACCAGAAGTACACAGTCCTGTGCAGACACAGTCACACCCTAACAGAAGTACACAGTCCTGTGCAGACACAGTCACACCCTAACAGAAGTACACAGTCCTGTCCAGACACAGTGATACCCTTTAACAGAAGCACACAGTCCTGTGCAGACACAGTCACACCCTAACAGAAATACACAGTCCTGTGCAGACACAGTCACACCCTAACAGAAATACACAGTCCTGTGCAGACACAGTGATACTCTGTAACAGAAGCACACAGTCCTGTGCAGACACAGTCACACCCTAACAGAAATACACAGTCCTGACCAGGCACACTGCAGATGGCAAGACTTAAAGGGAACATGAACATAAAGACACATCGCTCCTACCACAGATAATTTACTGGGGCTTTCCTCATCAAATGGAAAGCCATCGCCAGTTCTTTTGGACCCCCTAGGCTGTTCGGACTCCTCATCCGTATCCATGTCGTTAAAGGAACTTGACAGCCATCTTTTATCAAAGGCGAACTTCTCCTTGGCGGCAGATGCTTCACCCCTGGCGTGATTTGTAGTAGCTCTCTTGTCTGGGGTTCTCCGGAGGGGTGTTGCTGGAGACTGTGAGCTGGGGGTCCCTCCAACTTCAGGGCTTGAGGGCTGGGATGGGAAATCAGCTGCGGATGCACAGGCGCTAGAGAGCTGCTTCTGCAAGAAGTGCTTCAGACGCGTCTTCCTGGGGAAGCTGCCCTTCCTGATGGCGCTCCTAAGCTCAGACTCTTGGGCGATGACATACACTCTGGAGCGGCCCCTCGTCACTGCAGTGTAGACATGTTGCCAGTGCTGGCGGCCTGCCTTCCCCAGTACATAGGCGACTGTGTTCTCCTCGGACCCCTGAGAGGTAAAAACAGTGGGAAGACTTAGCACAGCAACTCAGTGGGGTGGGCTCAGGGACGAGGCTGGGAAGATGGCTCACGAGTGAAAATGTATGAATAACCAGACGCCTCACCTAGCTAGCCTGGTGGACACAGCAGGAAAAGCAAGGAGATCCCATCTCAACAGTGATGACCAAGGACAAGAGACTGCTCTGACCTCCACACATGCACAGCGGCACCAGAATACCTGCGTTCATACACACAAATATGCTCGTGCACACAAACACACATACACAATACTATGGTACTCTCTCGTCCTTCTACCCGGCCAGTGGGTCTACACGCCATCCACTCTTCCTGCAGAATCCATTTTATTCATTATCTCAAAACTCTTGACTGCTAAATACGTTACCAACATTGGGTTCCACAGGGCCACAACTGGCTTCTGGTGACCAAAACAAACTGTAAAGACTACACGGAGTGCTACAATTTCCCTGACCAAAGATTTTGAAATGACTTTACAAACCTACGTATAAACATGTTACACAGGGGCCACTCCAGAGTATATGTCATGGCCCAAGAGTCTGAGCTCAGGAGTGACATCAGGAATGTGTTTGCCAATAATGGCAAAGAAAAAGGATATATAAAATAGCCAATAACAGGAGAATATATAAATATGTATAGACACCATGTATGCCCGCATAAAGGTAAACACACACACACACACACACACACACAGATTGGCTAGAGAATGGCTCTATCAGTAGAGTGCCAGTCACACAAACATAAGAATCTGGTCCAGATCCCCAGTACCCATGCAGAAAAATAAATTAGCTCACGCCTGTAACCCCAGTACTAGTGAAGCAGAGACAAGAGACTCTTGCAGGGCTTGTGGGCTAGCCAGTCTGTCCACGTTAGCAAGTTTCAGGTTTAATTAGGGTCTCAAAGGGCAGGTGAGGAGCTAGTGAGGCCACCTGATATTAACCTCTGCCCACCACACGCATGTGCTCACACATGCATGAGCGCATCTGACACAGACACGAGCACAGGAGACATATAGTCACACATACGTATGTGCACACACAAATCTAACTATATATGAAATGAATTATAGTCAAGCAAGAACTCTGATTGCCAAACATAAAGACAATGTGAGTATTAACAGACTATAAAGGCTTGGGAGATGGCTCTCAGCTAAAGTGCCTTCCTCACACACGTGGAGACTCGAGTTCAGTTTCAAAACGCAGGGCGCGCAGAAGAGAACAAAGCGCGTCGAGCGTTCCTGTGCTGGAAGGCAGCTCAGCGACCTGTTGTGTGCACGTCCTACGTGGGAAAGCAGCACTCAGACGCCGAAGCAAAACGGCAAAATGGAAACCAGGACAGTGGGGAAAAGTTCAAATTAATAACAGCAAAATAAATGCAAAAGAAAACAAGGCAAGGGGCTTCATGTTGCGTTGAGCTATAGTTAACCCTGACTGTCAGCCTGGGGGGCTTCGTGTTGTGGTGAAGCTACAGTTAACCCTGATGAGACCAACAGACACAGAGAAGACGCATCTCCGGACATCTATGAGGGAGCTTCTGACTGTGTTCACTGAAGTGGAACGACCCACTCTAAACTTGGCGGAAATCATTCAATGGGCTGGGATCCCAGACTGGATGAGAAGGAGACAGAGAGCTGAGCAGCAGTTTCATCTTGTGCTTCCTCACTATGGATGAAACGTCACCAACCACCGCATACCCCTGCTCTGTCTTCCCCGCCACCAGGGCCCATACCCTCAAACTATAAGTCGCAAGAAACTCCTCCTTCAACGTCTCTCGCCAGGCACTTTGTCACGCTGATGATAAAAACGTACTAACACAAGCAGGTGTACGGGGGTGGCTGTGTGAGCATCTGCTCTCACCTGGAAAGTGTGGACAGTCCGAGCCCAGGCGTGTCTTATCTGACAGTGTCTCACCAGTTTGTCAAAGTCCACAGTCACTTCCAGACCAGCCTCATTGCTGATGGTCAAAAGTCTTTTTGCTTGGAAAGTTATATCAGTTATATCCTGAAAGAAAACTTTGCATACATTCATGCACGTATGTGATAAAGACAGTCTTAGGGCGCAACACAAATACAAGCATTCTACATCAAATTAAGAATTTCCAGGTGCTTGGGGCTGACAGTACTTGTAAGGCTTTGGGTTCGATACCCAGAATGGAGCAACAACAACAGACTTGAAAAGGCTTCAAATCCATCCTTAATTGAATGCCTTCACATTTGAGTATTTCAATGAGCAGAAATAGAAACTTCTGGCCCTTGAAACCTCCCACACTCTTTCCCTCCCAGCCCTTTCAGGGTATTTTAAGCATGGGAGAGGGCTACACAAGAAGCACAGACCGTTACTAAAGTTTCTACACTGAAGCTACAACTAGTTAACCTGTTAGTCAAACCTTACCACAAAGAAGTTTTCCTTCCATACCTTTCATTAAAAAAAAAGTTAAAGTAATGCTTTCTAGCTCAACTATTCCCAATGCTTCCAATTATTCCATTGCATTCTGATCAAGACACTGCTTTAAAAAAAAAAAAAAACCCTACAGACCAATATACATCTTGAAGGAGGATGTATAAAAATTTCTAAGAAACATTGAACAAGAATATCATCTCCGATGTGATTAAATCCTGAATGAAATCGAAGGCTTTAGAAAAAAACTCTAATTGGCAAACATTGTTACCTGAGACTTACCTTCGTGATGAAAAATATTTCCCCATTGCATAGTCGAATGCCATTTTCAAAATCCTGCATGATTTCAAAATCAGAAGGGGGATCACCAGAGGGGGCAGCATCGGAGGGGACAGCGTCGGAGGGGGCAGCATCGGAACCTTTCCCACTGGCTTTCTGGACCTTGCCAGGGATTAAATCTGCGAGGTATGCATTCCGGGTACAGCAGATTTTATCATTAACTGCAAAGATGAGCCTTCTCTTGTGGTCTCTGTATTAGGAAGCAATCACACACCATCAGAAACTACAGATGTCCCTCTTCACCTCACCTAGATACGCACTCCGCCCAGAGTTGATAAAGTCACGTGCACACATCTTTGCGTCATTCTCCAAAGGGCAAGAGGTCAGTCTGTCCTAGCTGTCACCTGCTTATTTTATGCTCAACCTCTTGTCACCTTAAACCCTTTGGCCCAGTTAAACTCTCTCCAGTTAGAGACACGGGTATGGCTGCGCTGGTCCGTCCATTTTCTAAACCGAAAGCCTTATTTTTTCATGCAAATTACCCTCTCTCTACATTCTACAAGAGAACTTCCTCATATTTCCATTTTTAATAATTGCGCACCACTCTTGGGAAGAGCAGCAATGGGCCTGTCACTGCAAACGCACTGGGCTCATTCTTCATGCTGCTCCTCATCCATCCTCTAGGGTCTCCTGTGCAGTCAGTTTTGCTTACACAAATGGAAAGATAAAATTACCTGATGAGGGCAAGGTTGCTAGGACCATGACTGACCACCAAGCACATTCTGAATCCTCTGTTGGGCCACCCAACTGCTTTTTGTGACAGGGGTTTCTATATTTTACACAACCCCAGTGATGAACATGTGCTGGCAAACACAAGCAACATGAATTCACTTGTTAATGTGTAAGCACGGTGACTCAGCTACACTCCCGTTCCTCTGGTCACTCAAACAGGGTTCTCCACACACAGCCTGTGGCGCAGGCCCTGGGAAATGACCCCTAGGTGTCAGTCAGAGGGTGCTCACTTGATGAGATGGTCCGTGTAGTGCTTAGCACAACAGTCATTGATGAGGTCACAGTCTTGCCTGGAACACATGAAAACCAGAGTCACTTCAGTGACACAGTCACACACTGGCTGATGTCCACCAGCAATTATACCCTGGGCCGCTGTGTTTTTAATTGCTGTTGTTGTGAACCGGGAATGGAGCTAAGGGCTCTGCGCCAGCTAGGCAGGCATGCTAGCACACGCCCCTGCTGCTAGAGTACATCCCTTAAGATGCTTCCACAACTTTCTCGAGGAAAAAGTATTTTGGTTTTTTGTTTGTTTCTCTTTTGTTTTATTGAGAGAGAGTTTCTCTGTGTAGTCCTGGCCATCCTGAAAAACTCACTCTGTATATCAGGCTGACCTCGAACTCAGAGATCTGCCTGTTTCAGCCTCCCAAGTGCTGAGATTAAAGGCATGCACCACCATGCCCAGCTGGAAAAAAAAAAGTGTTTTATAATTTTTATTTTTTTTAAGTATTTCTTTCTTATGGTTTATTTAACTTTATTTTATGTCCATTGGTGTGAAGGTATCAGATCCCCTGCAACTGGATCTTTAGACAGTTGTGAGCTGCTATGTGGGTGCTGGGAATTGAACCTGGGTCCTCTAGAAGAGCAGTCAGTGTTCTTAACCACTGAGCCATCTCTCCAGCCCCTGTTTTATAATTTTTATCTCCACATAAAGTTTTGTTCCACTCACATTTCCTGTAAGAGTACACTTGATAAAAAACAGCCCTGTTGTGGATACCTTCTGACATGGCTAATGAAAAGATACTTCAGGGTAAGAATGCACACTGAGACAATGGGGATGTTCTATCGGGAACTCACTAAGGCCAGCTGGCCCGGGTCTGAAAAAGCATGGGATAAAACCAGACTTGCTGAACATAGCGGACAATGAGGACTACTGAGAACTCAAGAACAATGGCAATGGGTTTTTGATCCTACTGCACGTACTGGCTTTGTGGGAGCCTAGGCAGTTTAGATGCTCACCTTACTAGACCTGGATGGAGGAGGGTGGTCCCTGGACTTCCCACAGGGCAGGGAACCCTGACTGCTCTTTGGGCTGACAGGGAGGAGGACTTCACCAGGGGAGGGGGAGGGAAATGGGAGGTGGTGGCGGGGAGGAGGCAGAAATCTTTAATAAATAATTAATAAATTAATAAATAAAAAACTGAAAAATTACAAGTTTCTCCCCCTAAGCACGATGTACATTAAAACATGATGACGTTTAAAAGTTGGAGAGAGAATATTAACACAGCATAAGAGCTTTACCTTCTAAATGCAATGAACTGTGATGTTTTTGCGTTTTCAAAGTCTTTTCCTTGGAGCAAAGCTTTAATCGCAGAATATAAATCTGGCAAAGAGAAAAAGATCGCCAAATTGTAATGCTACTTCCACACAAAACATCTCACCACATGAAATACAAGGCCACCGTGGGAACATCTACGTCATTGTCGGCATGCGTCAGGGCAGTGGGAAGAACGTGAGAAAGGCTTAAGCCCTGGAGTTACTGCTACATGGTAAGTCAGTTGGAGTTGAAATCTATAAGTTAAATAGTACATCATATAAACCGAATATTACCATACTCGGTTCTGAGTCTTAGCAGGTGTATGCCAACTTAAAATATTCAGGTATCTCTACATCGGCTCAAAGTGGCCACGAGCCTAACAGGACATTTGCCCCACCTTCCCCTCAACTTCCGCCTTCCTGTCCTGTCCAGCCCTCCCATCATCCAGCCACTAAATCCTCGGCCTGGAGCAGGGAGAGCTCTAGTGGTGTTCATACCCTGCCAGCGGCTATGTGGTGCGGTCACTAACCGCACTCATCCGAGAGGGCGAAAATAAGGCTTGGGAAAGTCATTTTCCAAAGGGGCAGAGGTCAGAGGGTTGACCGTGGTGTTCTGCACGTATACTCTTCCACACTGTCCACTGGCAGGCAGCTCTCCTCTCGTCTCTCAGCAACGGTACAAAAAAAGTCACCGTGCCTCACAGGAAAGTAAAACTCAGAGTAGTGGGCAAGGGATATAGTTTAGAGGGTTTGTCTAGCAGTTCTAAGGCACTGTGTTCAAGCCTTATTACCACATGAACTGGGCATGGTGGCTGACCTACTCCTGATCCCCAACACAAGAGCAGAGGTTCAAAGATATATATGGATTTGGGAACTGGCCTGGTCTACATGATGTAGTAATATGAGCGGCGGGGCTGCATCCCCAGCACCCCGGCAGCCTGGCTAGCTTATGCTCCGAAATAACAACACACAAACTGTATTCATTTAAACACTGCTTGGCCCTTTAGCTCTAGCCCTTACAGGCTAATTCTCACATCCCGATCAACCCATCTCTAATAATCTGTGAGCACCGGTCTTACCGGGAAAGGTTCAGCATGTCTAACCTGGCCGTCCCTCTTAATCATGGACATGAGACCCTAGTCTATAAAACAACAACTACAAAAAGAAAAACCACACCTGGATCAGAGAGCTGGGCATAGGGCACATGCCCGTTATGCTAGTGCAGGGGGGGCAGGCAGGGGGATAGAGAGTTCAAAGCCAGCCTCAGCTATATAGTAAATTCAACAGCAGCCTAGGCTACATGAGACCCTGCCTCAAGAAAAAAAAAAAAGGATGGGTAGGGGGACAGGCACATTGCAGGATTTTGTCTCATCTAGTAGCAGTTGAGTCATGGAGTACCGTGGTACTCAGCTCTAGAAAGACAAAGCCAACTGCTCACAGAGACCTTCATTTCTCCAGTGAAGAAACGATACTCTCCAGAAAATAGCTGACCTCACACTGCCCCAAGTCATGCCTGGCTTGCTAGAGCAGAAACTTCCAAGTCTCCTAATCTGCACCTCGTTCTCCTCCCTGTCTCACAGATCCGCATACACTGTGCATTTTACTGATTTTTTTAAAAATATTTATTTATTTATTATGTATATAATATTCTGTCTACATGTATGTCTTCAGGCCAGAAGAGGGCACCAGACCTCATTACAGATGGTTGTGAGCCACCATGTAGTTGCTGGGAATTGAACTCAGGACCTTTGGAAGAGCAGGCAATGCTCTTAACCACTGAGCCATCTCTCCAGCCCCCATTTTACTGATTTTTAAAACACATTTTAGCCTCTCTGAAATTCCGGCCCAGTTATGGATCCCGTCTTGGGTCTCTGTATTTTGTTTTTTTGTTTTTTTTTAATTTTTTAATTTATTTATTTATTAAAGATTTCTGTCTCTTCCCCGCCACCGCCTCCCATTTCCCTCCCCCTCCCCCAATAAGTCCCCCCCCCCCTCAGCCCGAAAAGCAATCAGGGTTCCCTGTCCTGTGGGAAGTCCAAGGAACCCCCACCTCCATCCAGGTCTAGTAAGTTGAGCATCCAAACTGCCTAGGCTCCCACAAAGTCAGTGTGTGCAGTAGGATCAGAAACCCATTGCCATTGTTCTTGAGTTCTCAGTAGTCCTCATTGACTGCTATGTTCAGAGAGTCCGGTTTTATCCCAGGCTAACAGTGGGTACGATTTACTCAATAACTTATTAATGAGAAAATGCTGTTTGCCTCTCCAAGGAATATTTAACCAATTTTCGGAAAGAAGAGGCTAATTTTCCACCAAAAGTTTTTAATTAAAAGGGGCAATCAGCTAAGCTGCCAGCATTTGGAAATGGACAACTTGTTTTTCTTTTAAGAGAACTGTCTCCTGAGTGGGGCATGACACCATAGGCCTGTAATGCCAGGAGTAGGAGGGTGAACACAGGAGGCCTGAACTCACTCAAACTAAGGTACATTCTCTTTAATATACAGAACCAAGGTAAGCAGTGCTTGAGATATGCTATACAGAGCTGCGAAGAGAGCAAGTTAGGAAAAGCCAGCAGCTGCTTTCCTCATTTGTACTAGTACCTATGTTAGCTAAGCTTTTGGAGAAGACACGTTCACTATCATATTTAATTAAAACCAGCTCACAAAATACACATCTTATTATCCAATTTAGATAAAACTAACATGAATGATGGGATTGGTTATGCACACAACGGCGGACAGACTTGGATGTTCTGAAGCTGTGTGTCAAGTCGGTTGCTAGGGGAGGTGACTGAGTGTAAAGGGTGTGTCTGTGAGAACTGTGCCCGCTATAGTCAGTTCTTAGAAGAATCAATTAAATCATTCCTCATCCAGCCCTGAGGATACGCTAGCCCTAAAGTTTGCTAAATTGGTTTTGAATCTAAATCAAGACCAGAAGAACCTCGCTACTGTTCTGCCTTCATCTCTGTTGCTGTGAGCAACTTAGGGAAGAAGGAATGAGCCTCATTCACAGGGCATATCCCATCACGGAAGGAATCCAGAGCTGGAAGCCAAACAGGATCTTCAAGCAGACACCATGGAGGATCCTGCTTGCTGCCTCACTCGGCTCTTGCTTAGCTAGATTTCTTCTACAGTCCAGGACTACCTACGTAGGGACTGTGCCACCCACAGTGGCCTGAGCTCTCCCACATGGATGAGCATCAAGACAAACCCCCACAGACATGCCCACGGACCAACTGATGATCTAGGCGATTCCTCAGCTGAAATTCCCTTCTCAGAGCTTCTAGGCTGTGTCAAGTTAACAAAATCAACCAAGACAACTATATTCAAATAAAATTATTTACCATATGCAAGTTAATGATATTAATAGTATTTATGTAAGTATTCTTTTTTTTTTGTAAGTATTCTTAATATGGATGTCCCTGCAGTATCACAGGCACCAAATCTTGATTGTTATTTCACGCATGTTGAAGTGACTTGGGTCATGTGCTCAAGGGAGAAGATGCCACATCCCATGCTCTTTCTCAGCCCTGACAGCTGACATTAAATACCCAAAATTACACATGGTATTTACCTGTTTAATGGTAACCACAGTTTCACAAATATACTCCCAGAAAGTAATAGGAAAATTTCATTAAATAAGACTTACTTTCTCCTAAAGAGATTTGGATTGCCAAGACTCAGTAAAGAAGGCCATCTCCAGCCACTTGACAGACTTCTCAAGTATTTTATGAGAGTCCTTACACAGTGTCGAGAGTTCCCTCTCAAAGGGCCAGAGCAGTGGTCTTCAACCCGTGAGTCACAGCCCCTCTGGGGTTCGTCTGACCCTTTCAAGGCTCACTTAAAACCATCGGAGAACACAGATATGTACACCACAATTCATAGCAGCAGCAAAATTACAGTTATGAAGTAGCAGCAAAAATGATTTTATGGCTGGGGGTCCCCACAGCATGAGGAACTGTATCACAGCATTAGGGAGGCTGAGACTGCTGCTTTAGAGTCACCTGCTTTAGACAATCCTTAAGCTGCTCTATTTCCAGTGCTCCATCTTTCACTAGCAATACCTACCTTTAGCATTTGATAATACATAACTAGTCATTTAATGACAATATCACAAAACTAAAATACATGTAAGTCTATATCAACACTTACTAGATCGGTGTTCTCCGTTCGATGACTGAGAACTGCCATCCTCTTCAGGAAGTCTGACAAAAATAAATGTCTTATCTTGAATGGAGATGGGTAACGTGGGATTATCAGAGGTATTTAGTTCTGCATCAAATCTGGGAAACTGGCGCCTGGAGATTCTTAAATTAAAGATAAACATATATGTATATCATATAGGTGATATATATACACACACACACATATATATATGTATATATATAAGCATTATCACTTACAAATGTCTTTGTGTATGAAGCAACCAAATGCCCTTACATTAATTCATACCAGTTAGTGGAAGACGGGAAGAGAGAGCCTGGCAGGTGCAGACAGCAGCCAATTCATTTTATAATATACTACGAATACTGTAAGATTTCAGTACTGTATTTAGCAATCACTTCCCCCACTAAAAGCCAACTAAAAGTATCAGAAAAGAAATGATCACACCATGAGCCATGCCCCATGCTGAGAACCAGACCACTAAATACATAAGAAGCAGGTCTTTGCCTCGAGTCCCAGGGGAGAGATGAGACCGAGTCAAGTTCATGAAATGCAGTGAAGATGGAGTCAAGGTTCCTGGGTCCCCAAGGCCACATATGCAGAACGCAGGGTCCTGGAATGCATGTCTGCAGGCAGTCGTCTCACACTAAACGTAGCCCTTTCATGCTATGCTATATGCCTGTCCTTTGTTTGGTGTTCTGTGGATCGTACGTATGCTCCCATTCGCCCGGTTGAGTCAGGCACCCCACTGATTCTGCCTACTGGTTCTGCCTCTTCATCTTTCTTTCTGTCATGTGTTTTCCAGCTATCATAGGACATGGCAAGGTCTGGGTGCCTCACAGTAACAGAGCCTCTGACTGAGTCTAGCAACAGACTTAACAGAGGTATGGAGGTGAGAAGCCCTTCTGTGCCTTTAGCCACACCCAGGAAGACAGAGGTGTGGAAGTGAGATGATGTCCTTCTGTGCCACCCTCAGCCACGCCCAGGAAGACAGAGGTGTGGAGGTGACAGTTTCCTTCTGTGCCTTCAGCCATGGCCCAGGAAAACAGGTGTGGAGGTGAGATGCCTTCAGCCATGGCCAAGGAAGACAGAGGTGTGGAGGTGAGATGCCCTTCTGTGCCACCTCAGCCACGCCCCAGGAAGTGTTGAAACAACCTGGAAGGAGTTGGCTGCTCTTGCTGGCCATGTTTCCAGCAATCAACATGGACTTCCTGCTTGGCTTGTGGCCCAGGACCTGTAACACATGTTCCCTGGTATGTCATAGAGACCCATAGGTCAGAGATACTGGAGGATGTAATGAAATTAAAAGCGGTGGCATAGCCACGGCTTGAAGAAAAGAACACGGAACGGGATGCTAAGAAGAGCACCCAAGTCCAGAGAAAGTCAAATTCTAACTGATTCGTTTCCTGAACGTTTGACAGACTTTAAAAGGATTTAACAAGACTGAGGTAGCCTTTAGGTATAAGCAAAAAAAAAAAAAAAGCTATAGAAAAAGAATACTAAATATCCAATTATTCTTAGTGTTTTGACAGAAGTCTGCAATAACTACCCTATCCCTACCAATCCTACTGTTCCCACTATTCTACTCAGAATGTTTTGATATGTTCAAGGTCCTGGTGACATACAACCAAGCAAATGTACACATAGCAAAAACAGAATTTATAAAACAAAGTTAAAGATAAAATTTGACCCAGTGAACAAAACCATCTCTTAGTATTCCATGGTCCCATTACACCTAGAGATTTTAACATCTTCTTAAAAGTCACAGAACAGTAATAATCCTGATTCTCTACCATACTGAATATGGAGAAAGCAAACACCCGAGCCCTGAAAGAAACCTGAAAAGCTTCTATAGAAACACTGGGGAAGAGAACGTCCTTCCACTGAGGGGTACATGCCTTGTGGGCCTCCAGGGCTCAACTCAGAGTCAAATCCTACATTTGCCTTTTCTGCTTTGGGCTTTTTCTCCCACAGAAATTATCAGAAATTTCTTTTCCAATTCTCCTTTGAATTTAAGACTCATTTCCAAGTCTCTGTTGCCTTGGGCATAGGTCCAGATTCTAGGCTTAACACAACTTTAATTCCCATACAGCCATCCCTGTGTATTGCCTTTCAGAATCTTCTGATGACACGTGGATGCTAAGCCCATATATAAAATGGCATGGTAGGGGGCTGGAGAGATGGCTCAGTGGTTAAGAGCACTGACTGCTCTTCCAGACAGTCTGGGTTCAATTCCCAGCACCCACATGGCAGCTAACAACTACCTGTAACTCCAAGATCTGACACCCTCACACATAGAGACATACATGCAGGCAAAACACCAATGCACATAAAATAAAACTAAATAAATTATTGAAGGAAAAATGGCATGGTAGTCTCATATAATGTACATACTACCGGTTTATTTTAGATCATCTGTAGATGATTTATGATACCTACGGCCATGTAAATGATCACGACAGGGAGATCACACAGCGAAGAATCTGTACATGGTCGATGCACGTGCAATTTTTTCAAATATTTTAATCTCTGTTGAGTTGCACACATAGATATAGAACCCATAGATACAAAGAACCAGACATATGTACTTCTAAAGTCAAGAAATATATCCATTCCTAAATGTTAACCATAGTTTATGCTGGGCCAGTAATGAAAGACACTGACTTTGGTTTTCTTTTTTTTTTTTAATATTTATTTATTTATTTGTTATATATACAATATTCTGCCTGTGTGTATGTCTGCAGGCCAGAAGAGGGCACCAGACCTCATTACAGATGGTTGTGAGCCACCATGTGGTTGCCGGGAATTGAACTCAGAACCTTTGGAAGAGCAGGCAATGCTCTTAACCACTGAGCCATCTCTCCAGCCCTGACTTTGGTTTTCTAACTGTGCCAACAGGCTATGGTAAAAGAACAGAACAGGTTTACTAAAAGGACACGATAAAGCATTGTACTAAATCATTCTGATTCAAGGGCTTTAAACAAACAAACACTTTATTGCTAATACAGCAGAGACAAAATTCCGGAACTTCATTAGCTCATACCTGGTGGCATTGTCCACAATCAGCTGGGACTCTGTCCTGTGGTTTGTCTTTAACTCAATGGCACACCCTCTTGACCTAAGAGTCTCAAAAACATCCTGCAGCATGTTGCCAGGCTCAATGCTGGGTAACTGTCTAATGTCACCTACAGAGAGGAAGGGGCATGAAGATGATCAGATTTAACTAGGATTCTACAATGTGGAGATTATTTTTATCCTACCAATTGAGAGTATGATTGTAGACTTTTTGTGACGTAGAAAAAAAGTCTCTGAAGTCGTTATCTAAAATTATTTAAGAATATTAAATATCCTGAGAGGATTAGGAGAAAGAATGGAGGATTGATTGATAAAAATGCAATATACGTTCTCAATACAAGTATTTCAAGTTCTCAATACAAGTATTTCATTCAAATACAACTGAATTGTATACGACATAAAATTCTGTGTGAATATACAATAAGGTGACAAATTTTTAACCGATCTTCTTTCTAACTGTGACTCAGGAAAACCACTAAGAAAATATACATTAGAATATGTTTAAAAATCCGACCCCAGACATCTTGTAGGTGCTCAGTGATTCAGTCTGACTCATCGTGACACAGAACCTGGGGAAGCCATGGCTCACTGCATAAGACAAGCCCACTAAACAGAAAATGCATAAGCCGAATTGATGTGAAAACAGACAAACCCTAGCCGCCAAATGACAATGCTTTAAACTACTGAAGATCAGAGTGTGCTACAAAAAGGCAAACTCTAGAGAAAAGAAAGAATAGACTGATAACTGGGAGAATGCTAAAGATTTAACAGAATCGTCTGCTTATCAAACATCCCCAAATACCGAAAATAAATAGTATTTCTATACAAGCTCCTTACAATTAAGCCAGAGAATCGACTGATCACTAAACCTCTACAGAATCTAACTAAATCTCATCCGATTAGGAGGCTGGCAAAGCCTAATTTGAATTATTAGCTTAGAAACATAAAATTACTGTAAAGTGGTCTATAACTCAGACTTTTTATTATTTCCAAATGATCTATATCCTGATTTAGTCTGACTCTGACATTTTTACTGTTTTAACAGCAATTACTCAAACAATGAGTAATAACTTACCGCAGCCATACTCATTCGTCCTCGCTGGCTGGGACACTGGGTAGAAGACCTGCCCAGGCTGGGAAGGACAGCAGGCAGCCTTACTAACCCATAGCTGTGCAATGGGCTGTGAAAAACACTTGCCACCACCAACAGGCTGAAGCCTGGAATAGCATCCACGACACAGCACACTCTGAATGTGGAGACTCTCGCAGTGTTTTAACTTACCAAGGATTATCAGTTTAGAAAGTTTGGCGTGCTCACATAATAACTTCAAAACTGATTTGAAGATTCCGACAGACACCAAACTTCCTTCATCCACAACCAGAACGCGAACTGTAGAGAATTTCCATGGCTTGTCCGCCTTAAGTTTCTTCCAATAATAGAAGCTATAATTGACCTGTAAGTAAAGTATATATATAAAAAAATCAGGTAAGAAATTAGCAAGCATGTGGTTTCAAAAACAAAGCTTCTGTGACAGACAGGTGAGGGGGGATAAAACATAAGGAGAAGGCAAATGGGCAGAACATACCATATAAAGAGATGAATGAACAAAAAGGGGAATTTAAAAAAAATTCAAACTGTATAAGGCTCAAACAGTTTTAAAAAAAATAGTTTCCCAGTGAGCCTAGGGTTTAACTTAATAAATAAGTTTCTATCACAGTTTCTCTTGCAAAAAAAAAAAAAAAAAAAAAAACAGAAAAGAAAAAAGAAAGAAACACACAAACAAAAAACAACAGAAAAAAAAAAGACATCTCCCATTGTTCTACATGGAGAAATTTCTCTATTTCTTTTCACTTTTTGAAATATTCCAATCCTTTTTCTCTTTACTAAATCCCTTTCAAGTATTCCAAACTTCTAACCACCACACTGTAAAAGCACCAATAAGAACAATTCAGCTAACAGTATTTATCATATGATTATTTTTAAAATGTAAATGATTTAATAAGATAATGGAAAATACCTGTTACAGCTCAAACTCCCTGTCCTTAGAGTTATTTCAATCATTCTACAATACATAGATTACATTCCAATCAGTAAGTCATGCCAAACCCCCTACATACTATGGGCACCCTCCCTAGTGCATCCGGAGAGCTTTGCCCTAAATAAAACACCCTTCTCACCTGAGCCTCCAAAGCGCTTTAGAGTTCTTCATAACACACATAACATGACAGTTAGGAACTCTCACCAAGTAAAGTATTCATTCTTGCAACCATATGAAATCATTTCAAATCTCTGGAAGGTGACTATCGGCTAGCCGGAAGAGATAAAGAAATATAGTGGAGAACAGGGTGCTCAGCTCCATGGAACTCTCATTCTATAAGAGGGGACTTTTCCTTCCATCTCCAGCACTCCAGGAAGCAAGGACATGCGCGTAACCAGTCCTCATGAGAAATCCAGGCGCGGGGAGTTAAACTACATCACTAGGTATACACTATGATTCCACTGGCATTTGTTCATGACAAGGATTTTCCAATGAAGCACACAGTCTCCCGCTTTTCCTTCAGAGCTTCTGTCCATTCTCACTGCTCTAAATGGTCAGCTACTCTACAATAAGGACCCAGGAGACATTTAACAGAAACAGTCAACCCTATTAGCCATGGGAGAATCGTTCTGAGGCGAGTATCGAACCCTGTAGATGAGCAGTGGGGGACTTTGAAAGATGGTCTGATGACAGAAATGGCCATCAAGTGACCATCGGGCAGGTAGCCTATTCAACATGGATACCTTGCAGGAAGGTGACCGTCTCCAGCAGGACTGGCTGAAATAAAGTCAGATGGCATGGCGTCGTTCACAATAGTGTGCGGTTTAACTTGACAACTGTCTATCTAGGTGGTAAGAGAGAGGGCAGACAGCCAGAAAAAGAGCCTGAAACCACCAAGCACCTCCTTCTCAATAGAATTTCACCCTGATCATGGCTGAGCTGATCCAAACGAAGTCACGGAGAGAAGAGGAGTGTGTCGGCAACAGTCACAGAAGGGCAGAGTCCATTCAAGTCCAGGAAGCAGCAGCTTGAGACACAGCTTAGAGGAAATATAGCGAAGGAGAAACTGGCCTGGCTGGACGTACCTAACATGGTGTTTAAATATCTAAGGCATGTACTCACCAAACAGGAGCTGGGGGAGGCTCAGCGGACAGCAGGGAAGAGGTTGCCTATAGCCCAGCTGAAATCAGTGATGTAAACCTCAGCTTTGGGACCTTGAGGACAGTCCAAGCAGTGGGGGAAACTCTTTGCTTAGCTAAGTCTAAAGGATCCAGGCAGCAAAGGCAAGGCTCCTGGGGCCTGATATGGTAGAAGGAGAGGATGCGAGAGGGTGGATGAGGCAGCGGGATACTGTACTAACAAATAAAATGTAAAAACCCCCGTGGGAGAGGGGCTTACAAACTCTTGAGTCTGGGAATGGGAGTCAGTAGTAAAGAGCTTGCCTGGCTGGTACAAGACCCTAAATTTCGTCTCCAGTACAAGTTACAGCAGTCTAACACAGTGGAAGGAAAAAGAAAAAAAAAAAACCTTACAAGCTGATTACCTCTGAATAAGAAGCAAAGATGCTTTCAGGGAAACGTTTTATCTACACACAAAGACGTCAAAGGTTTTACCTGATACAGCGTGTAAGCCGGAAGATCAGTTCTCTGCCTCAATAAACCAGCCGCTTTCCCAGTAGGCGCCGTGAGCAAAACTTCTACAGCCTTGTCCTCCGCTGCTGGACTCTGCTTAGGAAAGGCAAGCCATTCTTCTGAGGCATCCCTGTCTTCCTCAAAATCTTTGCAAGCTTGCCACACTTCTCTCTCTTCCAACTGCTCCACGTGCTTGAAAAGATGGCTAACAATGGTGGTCTTCCCGCAGCCGCCCTTCCCGCTGAGGACGGTCACAGCGTTGGCACAAATCATTTCCAGGGCGGCCACCTGATCTTGATCCAGTGGCACATCATTTATTTCTGCGTTCATTTCAGGTCCGCCATCATTCCTAACACAGTCACCACTGTCCTGAGGGGCAGAAAGACTCTCGCTCTGCTCTAATCCCGCCTCTTCCGGTTCACCTTCTTCCACGGCCTCCACGCTTTCTGAATCTTTGGCCTTGCTGTTGCAAATTGACGCCAGGACGTGCTTCACATCCACTTGCAAACGCCACGGGGGTCTGTTCATCAGCTCGCAGATGGAGGAGGCAATGCCTTGCTCGGCCTGGTACAGTTCGGAAAGAAAGACACAGTCTTTCTCATAGGTCACCACGTCCAGGTTCTTCATGAACTCCAGAGAATCGCATGCTTCCTGGAAAGGCATGTGGTCTGACACAGCCAAAGTCAAGTCTTTTACTTCAACACACGTGTGCCCGTCCTCTCTACATATCTGCTTCAGCTTAGAATATATGACCAATGCATTCTTGTGCAGCATAGTCATGAGCTGCAGCAGGGAGGGACACTGACTGAACGCGGTCCAGCTGGCCTCGCAGCTCAAGAGATTCATCTCCCGGTAGGTTACCTTTAGGGAAACAGCTCACGATGCCTCATACAAGGTATACATAGCGATAGCTATAACTACAGCTGAAACTGTGTTGGCTTAAGCCTTTTCAAGCTCTAGAAATAAGTATTTCCACAAAGTTTGGAGAAAAGGTTACATACATACATCCGTGTCTTTTTAACTTTTTCAGTTAAGCAGTTATAATTTTCAAATCATCATTTTCAATGTCAGGCAATGCTACACACACATATACACACACAGGAATCCCCTGATTTATTCTTTCCCAAGTCTCCTAAAGACAACATCACTAACACTTTCTTCTTCCAGAATTGACTTCCACGTTGTACGTATCACTGACCTTTTTTTTTTTTTTTTTTGACTTTTAAAAAACACCTTAAGAAGCCGGGCGGTGGTGGCACTCACCTTAAATCCCAGCACTAGGGAGGCAAAGGCAGGCGGATCTCTGTGAGTCTGAGGCCAGCCTGGTCTACAAGAGCTAGTTCCAGGACAGGCTCCAAAGCTACAAAGAAACCCTGTCTCAAAAAAACCACAAAAAAATTAAATTTCTACAATGGAAAGGCTTTATAAGAGCTTGTGCCATCACCTTGATACAGGCTTCTTATCTGTGAAAAAAGTTGTAGCACACATCTAGTTAATCAGCCCAATGAAGTCAGTGTTTATCATGTAAGTATGATTCCCAGAGGAGAGGCTTTCTGTATTGACAGCACTTTTGTAGGGGCCTCTGCACATATCGGGACATGAACAGTTGCCTCATTTTCTTGGCTTGCTCGGTTTTCCATGTGTCTACCAATAATTCTTGTCTACCAGTAATTCTTCCCAAATATGGCAAAAGGGGCACTTCACCATGGGATCTCTCAGCTCCGCCCTTCTGAGGCCTCCATTCCCAGCATTCCCTCACAAGGCAAACACTGCCCCACTATCCCAGAAAGCGACACAGCTGGAGATGGTGCCTTTCAAATAATGCCAACGAGACTCTCAGAATGGGCCTGCAGCTCCAAAGATTGGTGTTTTTCGAGGAAGAAAAGATTAGCACACTGGAGTAAGTAAGTTATGCTTAAATTCCCCAGATAGGACTCTTCCCACCAAAAAGAGACTGGATACACTTAAGACTTCTAGATACTAACATGAAGGGGAGGAGAGACCTGAGCCCCGATGAATGCCGCTAAGTCTAAGGGCTTTCTGGAGAAGGCCGTCCAAGAACAGCTCTACTTTCATGCTGGCTTGGGAGGCAGTGATCTATCTCTTAATTCTCCTAATCGTTAAACTTATTCAGCTGTGTTTTCATTTGGAAAACCATGTCATAGCTACCAAGATTTAAGAATCACATTTAATTCTAACACCATCCAGGCCTTCAAGCGCCATTTTCAACTCTTCTTCTCTAACAATAAGAATAAATATGGACTTGTTAAGGGTGTTATTGGGCCAATTAACAAGCAGCTAACAGTGGGATGTGCCCTGGGGATATATAAGTCTTCAATAGTCACACTAGGAAATGGGAGATTGAACTGCAGAGCAAATGGACTCAATAAAGCCCAAAGGACATTTGTCTTCAATGAGACTGACACAATGACAACTGAATGACAGAAAAGTATGTTATATCATAACACATTGCATGATTAAATCAATAGTGATGATCTGAATGCCATACATTTCGCTATGTTGGTTTCTGTTTATTAATCAATTGACTTCGTTATTTATTAACTTCACAGTTGTGTCAGAATCATAGAACTAAGACATTTATTAGACAAAAGTCGACTTATGACACCCAAGGAGAAAAACCCAACACTAAATCCACATATATTCTCAGCAGAAAGAAATTCAAACATGGCCACAGTGGAAGAACTCTACCTTACACAAGATTACTAAATGCTGAACGAATGTCTTACTTACTCTACGGAACCCAAGCTTCCATGGCTCAGTACCCAAGATGTCATCAATCTTTTGTAACACTTCTGCAGAACTTGAGCTGATAAGCTTTTTGAAGTGTCGAGGAAAAAGCGTTGGAAGGAACTCCATGACTTTTGGGAACTGCAAAGCTGTCATTACACTTACAAACGGGACTGCAGGGGATCAAGAAAGAACAAGGCAAAACATAGCAGTGAGACCAGAAAGACAAACCGGGGGAGAGCTTTCTCTTTCCACAACCAGCTGAAGACACCTAAATCAGAAAGACTACTCAATTTAGCTGAATCACTATGAAGGTTAATAGAACTCTTCTTAACAAGATGATTTCTTTGTTATCAACACCAAACTTTCTGTTTTTTATTATATACTTAATGCTTCTTAGTCTTTTGTTTGCAATATAATCATTTTTAAAATCCTCTGATGCATCCTATTAGGTTAACATTAAAACTAAGCACAAAAATAAGCCATTTCTTCATTAACCTTTACCGCTACTTTCCCAATCGTAACCAGGGTTCTTCTGTCCTCCGAGCCATTTTGGTGTGATGCAAATCTCATCTGCTTTCACCAAAAAAGGAAAAGCCTTCTGTCTATGGATGTCCAGAGAAAACCACGGTGTAAAGCTACTTTAAGTCATTTAGAATTGAAATATTTTTAAAACAGATTATTCCAAAGCTTTCCTTTCTCTTTAGTCGTCTTAGAAAGAGTAACAGCTGAGTTTTATCTTATTGACTCAGTACTCTCCATAAACTCAAAAGTCAAGAAACAGAACCACAATCTCGAGGTGGGATCTCCAGAAACCTGTAGATCACCGAATAGAATCCTGGCAGTCCACCAAATGTAATATAATGTTTTCATCAAACTGACTTCAAAGAGGACACAGGCATGGCCAAACTTTAGACACTGCAACACACTGTCACCTAAGAAAGTCACAACTGAAAACCAATAACTGAGCTACAGATATAAACAAATAAATAAACCTCCCGTCTTAAGAAAGGTCACTAAGTCACCATGGGCCACGTTCACAGCCTCCCTGCCCACATACAGCCTGCAGGCTGGAGGTAGACTTTCTGAATTTTGTATCTGAAGTGCTTCGAAGAAATATTTGGAGTTTTTTTTTCCATAATCTAGAATATTTACCTATACGAAAGCTTGGGGATGGAATCCAAGCCTAAATATACAACCCACTTATTTTTCATATGCATCTTAAACACATAGGCTAGAAATAACACTGTAAAAATACTTTAATAATATTGTGGATGATCAGAGTTCGTGTAAATGGATGAGAAACGTCACCTATCGTATCATGCCCATGCGCAGAAAGCTTTGTATTATAGAGCATTTCATATTATGGAGATTTTCTGCTCCAAGAGCCTCGGTTTGTGCCATGCAAGATACACCAGGAACCAGCAGCTGCAGCACTTCCAGTCAGTCAATGTCTGGAAGGCAAAAATTCACTAATAAAAGTCATACTTACATGATTCCTCCACAGGCAATCTCACCGCATCCTGCTCATTCTGTGTAGATTGTTTTTTGTTTTTCTGTCCCGTTTGTCTGTCAAAATTTCTTAATGTTTCCCGTAGATTTTCAAAGTTTAGATTTTTAAAGCTTGACACTTTCTCTACCCATTTTATAAAATCATCTCTGCGTTCATAGTCACATTCTTTAAGAAAAAGTGAACAGATGTGTTTTTGGCCTGGAGGTGACATATCAGACTGCAGATAGTAGGATGGAAACCCTTGAGCTTGGTAGATCTTGGATCGCGGAGGTTTTATAACCCGAACCTTCACTTGCCACCATGAACCTGTGAGTGGGAAGCGTCCAGACACGGTACATTTCTCTCCAGTATTTTCATCAGGAATAGAAACTAAAGGAAGAGAGAAGATAACACGAAATTGGCAATGGTTCCCCTACTATTTCCCTCTCTCTAATCCCCTCACACATCCACACAGGCAGCACCCCATACAGACATCTTCCTGCTGCCTCCAACACTGCATTTTAGCAGTCTGTTTCTCTGACTCCCTGTCTACAACAGGACACAGCTCCAACTATGCATTCTGGAAGCAAGCGCAGGGCAAGCCATAAATTTGTTCTTCTAAATCCCATCTACCTACCACCACCGCCTCAGCCGCTACTGGCCTTTATGTGGGTCTCTAAGAACTAGCCATGGCACCTCCCTCTGAGGAGTGGCTCAGATCCCTCAGCTGTGCTTGCCTCTCCTGGGCAGTCCCTACCTTCACCAGAGAGCTCAGTTCAGCTCACTTCTTTAGCAAACCTGCTCTGAACCCCAAGCCTACCACTTCTCCAAGTGCTGTCTGGTATTCCTTCTACATACTAAGTGTGGGTACTTCTGTGACTAGAGAATGCTGCCTCATTCATGAGTGGTGTTTCCGCTGAGACGGCAACATCATCATTTGCTCTCCCTGGGGTGTCCCCAGGACCAAACGCTTGACCAGGATAGCAAGTGGCACTTCTATCAACACGCAACCCTTTTCATTTAAATTCAGATCCAGTAATACTTAAAATCCGACTCCTCGATCACACTAGCTATGTTTCAGCAGCCACACATGATCAGCAGCTATTATTGCACTAGTTCATGCAAATATAGTGTGCGTATGTATATGTGTGTATGTATGGTGTATGTATGTGTATGAATGTATGTGTGTGAATGTATGGACATGCGTGTATATGAATGTGGGTGTGTATGAATGTGTGTATACAATGTGTTTATGTGTGTGTATATGGGTACATATGTATGCATATATATGCGTGTGTAAATATATGGACATGTGTGTCTGTATGTATATTGTGTATTATGTATATGTGTAAGTGTGTATATATACATGTGTGCATGTATGTGTATGAGTGTTTATGTGAATGTATGTATGTGTGTATGTATGTATGCATATGTGCATTGTGTTGTATGTATATGTGTATTTGTAAATGTGAGTAGATGTATATGTATGAGTGTATGTATATATATGAATGTATATGTATGTGTATGTGTGAATGTGTGTGGTGTAAGTGTGTATTGTGTATATGTATGTGTAAATGTATGTACAGATATGTGTGTGTACATGTGCTGGAAAGTGTATGTATAGAAATGTAAGTGTATGTTTGTGTGTGTGTCTGTGTGTTTGTGTGCATGCACAGCTGTGAGTTTTCGTTCGCGCAGTTACTAAAGAACAGCTCCGTCTTTAGGTCAAGCAGACCAGTATAATAATTAAAAGATTCTGAGTCGGGTGGTGGTAGCTCCCACCTTTAATCCCAGCACTTGGGAGACAGAGGCAGGTGAATCTCAGTGAGTTCGAGGCCAGCGTGTTCTACAGAGTGAGTTCTGGGACAGGCAGGGCTGTAACACAGAGAAACCAAGTCTTGAAAAACAGAGGAAACAAAAAAGGCCGGGTAGTGGTGGTGCACGCCTTTAATCCCAGCCCTAGGGGACAGAGGTAGGCGGATCTCTGTGAGCTCAAGGCCAGCCTGGTCTACCAAGCGAGTTCCGAGTTCCGGGACAGGCTCCAAAGCTACAGATAAACCCTGTCTCGGAAAAATAAAAATTCTGTTTCTGGGTGGAGATACGGGCACCACATCTATTTCCTCGACTGTAGAACTACCTCCAACAACTGTTAACATTAACTGATAGCATATACATAAAAGGCAAGCTTAACATAGTATGTGCTCCGAGTCACTGCCATTATCACTGTTACTACTTCATGTTAAGCCATGCCACAGGTCTACCTGACAACCGCGATTGGCGCCGGGCATGGAGCAGTGAAAAACGAAAGAACCCTGTAAACCCGGCCCAGCTGACGGTCGCTCACCGCGGAGGCGCCCAGGGAGGCTGCCCGCCTTGATGCCGCCACTGCAGAGCTCCTCGGCGTCCACAAACTCCGAATCCTGATCCTCCTCATCCTCCTGCGCACAGTCCTCCTCTTCCTCATCTTTACAGGGGTTCAGGGGGCCCTGCAGTTCGCGCAGGAGAAGACACGGCCCAGCCATGCTCTTTTATGCAAATTAAGCCCAAAACAATTCCAGAAATCCCCGCGCAAAGCCCAAGACTGCAACCAGCCAATCAGCTCCACCAGGGTAAGACGTCAGCTTCCGGGAACACTCCAGGCAGGAGTCCTGGAGGCGTGACCTGAGGGATGCTCCTCCCCTGGTTTCCTGGGGGTGGCTAGTGGGAGAGGAGGGACTAGCGGACTGGTGGGTGTGCACTCCTAGAGATGCCTCTGCGGAGGAGCCGCTGACACTTTAGATCTGCTCTTTGAAGAGGGGCCGGGCGTTTCCTGTGGGGAGGGAACCGCGAAGAAAGGTCACATCTCCTGGACACAGAAAACCCCGGGAAAGCAGAGCATCTGCCACTCACCCTCCTAAAAATAATATAGCAGAGGCCTCTAAAGACCTTGGGGCTCCACCGAAAACACCAGAATGAATCCCCAATCCAGAGAGCCCTGTGGTGACGACTTGGGGCCTTGTCTTCTTACCCATAAAAGGGCTGCAGAGGAGTTGAATTTACATCACCTAGGAGAATTATCCAAGTAGGTGTTTAGGTCCCATTCCACAGCTTCTACTTTGGAAGTTAAAGGGTTTTTGTTTCTCTCTCTCTCTCCCTCTCCTTCTCCCTCTCTCCCTTCCTCCCTCTCTCCCTCCCTCTCTCCCTCTTTCTTTCTTGGTTTTCCAAGACAGGTTTCTCTGTGTAACAGCACTAGCTGTAGCTGTCCTGGAACTAGCTCTTGCAGACCAGGCTGGCCTCGAACTCACAGCAATCGGCAGGTTCTTATTTTAATGCATGGTCTGGGTCGTCCATTTTTATGCTCTGCGGGATTTGGAAACCCTTGGTTTTGATGGTTTTTGAAGCACTTCCAAGCTGTCCCCGACTTTTTAAAGCTGAGCTAGTTCCTGCTTTCTTTTTTCTTTTTCCTTGGTTTTTCGAGACAGAGTTTCTCTGTAGCTTTGGAGCCTGTCCTGGAACTTGCTCTGTAAACCAGGCTGGCCTCAAACTCACAGAGATCTGCCTGTCAGGGGTGGAACAAGGGTGATTTAAAATCATACACTGCAGTCATGGTTCTCCTACGATGCAGGAATAGTATTTAAAAGTCATGGTGCTCTTTAAGGAGCGCTATCAAATACTGTTTTATTGTACAGGTATTGTTTACTATGTAATTACCCTTTGTTAATCCAAAATCCTACAATATTTACTAAATCTAAAAACTGTTATGTTGGTTTCTAATAAAGGTGTCTGTCATACTCAAACGCCACGTGCATAGGGTCAACCATATGCAGGTCAAACACACTTTTAATCGAAATTCCATTTATAATGAATACGTATGTACAGGCATCCTAATTTCCTTTAGATTTCATTTATTATTTTCTTTGAATGTGTGTGACCATTCTGTCACATGTCTGTGCCCTATGTGCATGCCCAATGCAGAAGTTTCCCGGAATTGGAGTTACAGACCATAGTTAGCTACCATGTGGGTACTCACACTCGAACCTGGGTCTTCTGGGAAAGCATCCAATGTTCTTAATTGCTGAGCCATCTCTCCATCCCTCAGACATTTTCCTCGCCATTCTCTCAGCAATGCAGAAAACTATATAGCATTTACCTTGTATTAAGCATGATCATCTCAAGATATTTTAATTGGAGGATGCAGTAAACTGTCAATGGAGAATGCTGTTTTATAGAGAGGCTGTGCATGTCCTCGTATCTGAGGGGGTCAAACACCAATCCCCCATAAATGCAGAGCCACTCTGGTATAGGGAACCCAGAGTCACTGGAGAAAAACTACACTTGATCTTCCTCTTGGGTAGAAATTGGTGAATGTTCCCAGAAGGGAAACTTCATTGCCAGGCACAGAAGCCCAGTGTTTCAAGGTTCTGCTACACAGTTTGAAATTCTTCCTGTTAGGTCTTAAACCTGGTACAAAAGACTTAGGTTCCTAGTTAGTTTATCAAAGCAGATCTCACTACCTGGTTCTCCCAGCATCCCTCAGTCCCTACCTGTTACAGGGTATGGCTGGTGTACCCTGCTCCCTACACTAAACTTCTCCAGTCCAGAGGCTAGCTTCCCCTTCCATATATAATCCTGTCATTTTGGTTACCTGGTCTTTTCATCTACCCTTTCCTCCCTTTGCCATTTGGCCTTATTTGGCAGCTCCTCTCTCGCTCCCCCTTTCTCTCCTCTCAAGTCTGGTTTAGTCTGATATTCGTGGTCAGTCTGGACTCTTCCCTCTGCCTGCTTTCGCCTTGATATCTACAATAAATATCTTCTCCACACTTCAGGAGTAGTCATATTCTCCTTTTATTTCATTTCCTTCATACGTGGTTACTGTTTCCACCCTTATGTAGAATCAGGCTTCCACAGGATGCGTTTTAGCCTGTGTTTAACTGAACCCTTGGCAGTATTTGGCATTGATGACTGCCCTATCTTGTAATGCTTGACGGCCTGAGTTCTGCTGCTTGGCATCTTGAGTTTCCTTCCCGCCTGTTTACGTTTTCTTCCGCCCTAGCCTTCTAGGCCAGTCTCCTCCATCGGTGTTCCCCCATATTTCACTCTGAGACTCACCCTCAGGTATCCATCTCCTACGCTTAGGACTTCTAACGTGTTAGCACCTCAGCGAGAGATGGGGGCTTGGGGTGTGCCTCCCCATCTGTGCCTAGATTTGGTTGGGTTCAAGTTGTGTGGGTAAACATGGATGCAGTGAGTTCACGAGTTCCATGACCTTGTCAATATTTGGTAGCAGTTTCCTCCAAGACTATGATATTTCACCTTGCAGGGAAGCCTTTTAAGACATAAGGTAGACAATTCAAAATAGCTTCAGGAAGTTCCTGAAACTGAGCACACTCATTAGGCCCTTTCTTCATGAGAGTAAATACCCCAAGTAGCCTAGAGTCACCCTCTGGCACCCCACTCTGCAAAGACTCTGAGACCAGACCAGCTGCCGGGAAGAGCCGAGCTTCGCAGAAAAAGTTGAGATCAACTGAGTCACTTGGAAGGGGAACTCTCCAACCTGTGGAGCTGCCTATGGGCTATGCAATGTGCTCCAGGTTCCCAGATTTTGTGAGCTGTCACCCATGTTAGTGATGCAGCTGGCTTTGAGTCATTTCTGCCCCTGTAAGTAACCCCTCACTCATACTTCTGTAAATAACACCCCCCCACACACACACACACACAAATCTCATTGGTTCGCCAAGTTGTACTTGGGTGTATCCGTACTCTGGTCTGTCAAGGGCTCCCTCCCTGTCTGGAGTGAGGAGACTTGTGTGTTGTGTCTCCCCGGGAAAGGTCTTGTCACACTGCGGTCAATCCCAGAAGTCAGCATCTCACAGCACTCCTCTGGATCTTACATTCTTCCCCTGCTCTTCAGACAAGTTTCCTGAGGTAGGAGGAAATGCCCTAATGTAGGAAAAAAAGCCTTGGCATACTGCCCTTCTAGAGAAGAAACATGCCATGCCATGCTTGGGAACTCAGAACACTGAATTCTGAAGTAGCTAGAGGAGCCAGTAGCTCTGTCTCCTTTACTGTGCTCTCCCACATAGAGACAGTGGTGGTGTGAGCTCCCACTATCCAGTCCAAGGGAATGTGCTGGCCAGTCACAGTTCATTGGCATCCACTATGTAAGTGTGATGGAGGAAGGTCATTGGCTAATAAAGGAACTGCCTTGGCCCATTTTATTGGTTAGAGGATAGGTGGGAGGAGTAAACAGAACAGAACGCTGGGAGGAAGAGGAAGTGAGCTCAGTCTCGACAGCTCTCCTCTCTGGAGCAGACGCCTGAGAGAGACGCCATGCCCCACTCCCGGGATGAAGCTCCGACCCAGGATGGGCATAGGCTAGAATCTTCCTGGTAAGCGCACCTTGGGGGCCATACACAGATGATTAGAAATGGGCTAAATTAATATGTGAGAATTAGCCTAGAAGAGAATGGGCCAAGCAGTGTTTAAATGAATACAGTTTGTGTGTTGTTATTTCGGGTAAAGCTAGCCGTGCAGGCGGCTGGGGTGCTGGGGACGCAGCCCTGCCGCTCTTATTACTACATAAGTGGTTGTTTATGAGCAATAAAGCAGGTACTATTCCCGGGAATGGTTTATCTCCATGAGCCTTACCGACCTTCGCACAGGCATAGCTGTCTTGGCCACAGGTGCCCAGGGAACCCTGACACCCTAAGCTTTATGGTAGCCGAAGAGGAGATTGAGAAAGAAAAAGTTCTAAAGGTAGAAACAAAATTGCAATTCCTGGTGTAACAATTGTTTCAAGCAAGGCTTACCAAGGGATGCAAGACCATTACTTGAAAAGTCTTTAAAGAACCAATAATCTCACACAGTAAAATATTACCCCACACAAAATGTGTACCTGTATCTGGTATAAACTAGTAAGCTGTTACAAGTGCCTTCAGTCATCAGATACAAATGATAGTGTATTTCATGCCGTGATGAGTTATGATGAGTGTAAAATCAGCTGTGAATCATTGCTACCTCAATATTTTGCCTAGTTTTAGTCAAGGCTGAATATTAATAATATATAATGTAAATCACACAGATAGTTTAAGACTTTCTATTGATCACATCAAAAAAAAAAAACCAAATAGACGCTGCTTGTTTAACCTCATATATCTGAAGTATTATTTCAAAATAGTAATCAACTCTGGTGGTTGAAATGAGAACGGCACCCACGGGCATATATGTTTGAATGCTTGGTCCCCGGTTGGTGGAACTGTTTGGCAAAGATTAGACGGTGTGGCTTTGGTGGACTGGATTTCAAAGCCATCTCCATTCCCAGTCAGTTCTCTCTGCCTTGCACTTGGGAATCAAGATGTGAGCACTCATCACCTCCTCCGGTGCCCTGCCTACTGCCACGTTCCCCACAGTGATGGTCATGGACTCTAACCCTCTGGAATCATGAGCCCCCAGTTAAGTGTTTTCTTTTATAAGTTGCCCTGGTTACAGTGTTTTCTCATGACAGCAGAAAAGTAACTAAGATTTCATCATAAAAAGTGGCAAT